GTAGTCAGGACGCTTTAATTTGTAAGTGCTGGCTGGTGCGGCTGTGGGCTTGGGTAAATCACACGGTGTGACCAAGTCGATGAAACGAATACGCAAGATTGAATTTGCATCTGGCAGCGTTGATGTATCCTACGATGAGGGAAGGTAGCCGTATGGAGCTTGAACGCAGTCACCTCGCGCAGCCCGCGTAGCAGTAAAGAAAAAAAGCAAATAAAAATTTCTCCAATCACTTCAGTGAGAGCACAAACAGCAGCACTATGTCGAGCCCGCCACTATAGGCAGCGTTGTTAAAACAGGCCACCTTATATTGACATCTGTATTAACTACCTCGATGCGGTATAGTATATATCAACACGCGCTTTTAATGGTGGCGGTGAAATCGCCACACTTGCAGTACTGCAGTGGATTTCGTGGTGGGGGGAGCTCATAATAGGGCTCTGCGGCAGATGCCAATCAGCGAGCTGCAGGTCCGTTAGCGAGAACCTCGGTTCAGCTGACCGTCCAGGTTCTCGCTGACCAGCGGCTCTTCCCATCGCTCCACTGTAGTATGCTGCCTTTAAAATAGGCAACATTACTAGAAACAATATTGAAAGCATAAAACAAAGAGAAAAGTTCAGTTGGTCAGCGCGACTCTAACTGAAGTCGCACACCAACAACGCATCATGTTGCGCACCAACAACGTACCCACTGCACCTCGAAAAATCAACGTGGTAGGGCTAACCGGCACAAACAGCGACGTGATTTCATTGCAAAAAAGCAAAATTACTACTCCTTGAAAGCAGCAACGTCAATATTGGCGCTTTACAATAAAAAATTAAAAATAACAAAACGTGCCTCTAAGTCACAACCTACGGCATGACGGCACCCCAAATTGCGCGTCAACCAACTACACCACCAGAGCAGCTAGGCAGTGGCGTTTAAACCAACTACAAACTTACGGCAACGCCCCCCTCGTTTTTATCATTGCACTACGGTGACGGGCCCCCTCATCGTAGTCATTGCAATAGTGCCGGGGCCCGTCGCTATAGCTGCACCGCTATTATGATGGGCCCAGTCATTGTTACGATTTCACTACGGTGATGGGCCCCGTCACCGCAATCACGATTACACTACGCTGACGGGCCTCCTCACTTTAACGATAGTACTGCACTGACGGACCCCGTCACCATAGTCACTATCTTCCCAAAGCACGAATTAGCTCACACATACGAGGGAAGCAGGGAGGCATATTCGTAAGTGGGCGCTTTGTTCATCTCAAAGGCCTCCTGAAAGCAGTGATAAACGTCACTCGGAAATAACTATGACAATGATCGTACTTTTTTGGCCCCATATAATTCATCATAAGTATTGTTCAAAATGGGACGTCACCATGAGGAGAGAGAAGAGAAACGAACGTTCACACTAGTACGCCATGTTGTACTACTGTTTGTGGCTTGGCGGCCTCATTTACTAATTTTTAGTAAAACTGCCTGCTGCTTCTCAGTGTGAAAAATATGTCTGTGATCATTATGGTGAGACACTTGCACACTTTAGAGAGTATTGAAGTATATTCTGGCCTGGCACCTCTAACCAGAAAACTGGCCGACCACCAGAGGTATTCATGGAAAGTACAAAACAACGTAAGCTTTAAGATCCCCTATTACTTGGGGCCACAAGGCCCTTTGTTATTTGTGTCTGCTATTCTTACAACCTAAAAAAATATCTCTTATTTGCGAGTCATGCCTTCCATGTATATGATTATTGTAGAGACTTGTGAACACTCTTTGGAGATCATTATACTCTCTCAAGAGAGTCATGTGACCCAAGAGAGAGCTCACTTGTCTCTTTAAAAAGAGTCATATTCGGAATAAGTCAGGACTTGCCGAAAACAATAATACGTACTCGTTTATTTCTTCAATTTCCTATAATGCCGATGGGCAGGTAATGTGAACAGTGCTTGACCAAACGGACCAGTCACTTACCACCAGAACTTCTTTTCCGGTACCTTCTTCTGCGCTCTTCTAGTATCTGAGATCCGCGGGAATTCATGACAGCACCACCTGCTACTGCTCTACGGTGTATTCTGTTAGATTGTTCCTGCAAGACTTTTTTTCCTATCCCTACACGCCTCTCCTATCTCACTTTTCGGCTCCGCAAGCCCTTTTCCATGCGGTGTAAACGACCGAAGCCACCTGTGGCTAAACTCACTGCTTTTATACATATAGTTTCTCTCCCATTCGCTCGCTCCCTTATAATAAGTGTTCAATCACAGTGTGTGTGAGCGTACAGCTTAAACTGCTCTTGCATACTTCATAACAAGCTTCACCCAGGTACTACTCTATCGCGTTATCTTTATATTTTGTCTTGTTTTCTGCAGTTCTCTCCTTGTGTTGCTTCAATAAGCTTCACTTTTTGCCGAATTAAGCCTGTTTTCTCGTTCCTCTATAACTATCTTCGAAGGACTACCTTAAATATACCGGACTATGAATAGCGGTATACAAAAAGAGCATGTCGGCCAGGCTCGGCGGCGCAACGCCAACATATGGACGTGTCAGTCTTCTCTATTTATTTATTCTTATTACTCTCCAAACTTCAGAAAGATTTCCGTCGCGGGGGATGGGGAAGAGGAGGAATTTACAAGAATTTTAGAAAACACCTTTATGAAAGGCAAAACAAAACATGAACACAGTGGAAGAGGAAGAAGGTGTGCGTAGAAGAATTTCAAGAGACAGAGTGGAGACTCCGAGTTTTAAAAGTAGTACAATTAAATAAAAACCGTTTATAGTGAAAAATTGGCAGAGCCCACGTACCATGGGAATCAATAAGATGCGAAGTACGAATGAGGAAGATTGATATGTCACTGTAAAATCAGCATAACGTTATGAGGCGAACGTAAATTATGCCGTACATGACTTCCATGTCAGGATTGTTATGTTTGGACGTGTCATTTACCTTCGTCGACTACTCACGCCTCGTGACACCAAATTTGGTATATGTGAAGCTAGTGAAACGGACGCGAGCGCGGTATGAGCGCAGCATGTAGTCATGTTTTACATGACACGCATATTATGATTATCATGTTTGGGCGTGTCATTTACCCTCTCCGTCCGTTCGCGGCCCGTTATACCAAATTAAGTATACGTGAAGCTAGGGAAACGACCGCGAGCGCACCATGAGCGTGGCGTGTTGTCATGACTTACATGACATGCATGTCATGATTTTCACATTAGGGCCTGTCACTTATATTCGCCATGCTGTCATGTCATAGCATACCAGTTTTGCAATATGTCATCTGAACGAAATCACCGCTAGAGCAGCAAGATTATGAAATGTAATCCATGACATTCATGACATACATGTCAATTTTTTCTTGATATGACTAGTCACGTATGCTCGTCATACAGTCATGTTTCGCCATACCAATTTCGGGATCAATACCATTATCGCAATGCCCATGAGAGCTAAACGTCATAGGCGGCTAAGCAGACAGACAGACAGACAGACAGACAGACAGACAGACAGACAGACAGACAGACAGACAGACAGACAGACAGACAGACAGACAGACAGATAGATAGATAGATAGATAGATAGATAGATAGATAGATAGATAGATAGATAGATAGATAGATAGATAGATAGATAGATAGATAGATAGATAGATAGATAGATAGATAGATAGATAGATAGATAGATAGATAGATAGATAGATAGATAGATAGATAGATAGATAGATAGATAGATAGATAGATAGATAGATAGATAGATACGCTCAAAGTCGCTGAAGCTCGCTAAGAAATGCTCGGCTTGTGGATTGAGGTTATCTCTAGTCAGCCTACAAAACTGTACAAAAAGAAATTAAGTCTGAAGTCTGTGGACAATCTACAGTTTGTCTGACTTGATTTGAAATTAACGAAAACTTATGGAAAAGTTTCGAGTTACTGCTCATGATTAGAATGAACAGTGGTGTACTACGAAAATGAAGGGAGTCGTCTATGAAATCGCTATTTGTTGTGGCAGAGTTTACGTTGGACAAACAGGCCAATGCAAGAACGATAGAGTTTGAGAACTCCCCTGCGATGTTCAAGCCATCGGATTGATCACTTACGGTTGATAATATAAATTGATCAGCAATTACCAAACAAATTATCGAGTCTGTAGAAATAGTATATAAGGGCTGAAAATCCGCTAACAGACACCTTGTGTGAGAAAGAACTGGTGTGTTTAGAAATTACCTCTAATGAGTGATAATGGCGTGAAAACGGAAATGATAGCTGAAAGAACGGTTTCTTCTTGTTCGATGACGATTGATATCAAAACCTACCCGTGGGATTAAAAAACGTTTCTTGAATCTTTATAGCTCTCTTTGCTTTATTTCGGATGAACTATTTTTTTTTCTTTGCGTGGGGCATTAGAATAGTTGATATTCAAAAAATTCTTTACAGAAGGAGACACAAAATAAACGCATGCAAGTTTTAACAATGCATGCGGGTACTACAGTATTAGATTGGTCAAATATTGCACGTTCTTAAGCGAAGCAGATAGCTGCAAGATGTTACCATATATTAGCGTAGAACGAGTGAAGCGAACGATAGAATATAGAAAATATAAGACAGTGATCGCTATTACCCTGTTTCAATCCGAAGTTGCCTTAATTATTGAAAACGTTACACTGCACCAATTAGCCCCAACTGCCAGCCTTTTAAGGCCTGGAACCCTTTTTTTTTTTTTGGCGATTGCTCTGGCTGCTCGTTTTGCACCAATATCCTTAGTAAAAGGAGCTCTGGACACAGCCACAGAAGCTGGTCACTGATGTTGAGTAGAGGCAGGAGCCTGACACCCAGAGCACGCCCCAGGTTTATTTCTCGAAACCATATGAGGTACAGGTGGTAGCATGAGTCAAGGTCACCTTATGACGAAGCCGTGGAAAAGAAACCTCGTTTTGTATTTGTCGCAATCCTCTGTTGCCCGGCAAGAATGAAGTATGGCGTCATCATAAATTGTATCCTCTCGTACCGCAGATGATTCTTCAGGCAGATCCCCGAGCGCGGCATCAGCTCCGCGAGCGCAAGCAGGCACTGGATCGGGCTCTCGAAGGTCTCGGCCAGCACGGCCTCGTCACCGCGGCCGGAGGCAGTGCCGAGGGCGAGGCACCTCTGCTACACTTGGGTGAGGCGCTGCGTGGGCAGCTGGAGTCGCTGCTGTCGCGCTGCAAGGTCGGCGCCCTGAGGCTGTCGGCCGGCCACGAGGCCGCACGCGTGTCACTCAACCGCGGCCCGGCGCCCAGCACGGTGTCACATCAGCGCCAACTCAGCCTGCGCCGGGTGCAGGTGCAGGAGCGTCTCATCCGCAACAAGACGCTGCTGGACGCCCTCGAGCCAGCCGAGCAGGCCGCCAGGGGCCTCGAGACACTGCTCGCCGTGCTCAGGAGGAGGATACAGCTCGACAAGGAGGCCCTCTGCCAGGTGAGAGTGTGTACAAGGGATGGATGAAAAACTTTATTTGGGGTCCTGAAGGATTCCACCCCCGTTTTATAGGGGTAGGATAGCGGGCCGCTCCCACGTAGGGACGGGGAGGCGTAGCCTCGGAACAACAATAAGCCAAACATTACAAGCAACGGACAGAAACCATGGCATTACAGTAATGTTGTAGTGCACCGTAGTAAAGTGGTAAGGTGTCCAACTCCAGTTCGGTAGTTTGTTGGATTCACAGTGACGCCGGATGCTGCCAGTTTGCTAAGGAGAAGATAAATACTCAAACTTAGCTGGCGCGCGACAGGCTGGGTATATAGGCTTACGCTCAAACAGAAACAGGGGACGCCTTATCTGTGAGGGTCGCCAATCCTGCCCCTTGCATTTAGTCAGCCATATCTGTTCCGTGGATCTGTTTCACTCACACTGACCCTTAATTGAACCAAAACACACACACACACACACACACACACACACACACACACATATATATATATATATATATATATATATATATATATATATATATATATATATATATATATATATATATATATATATATATATATATATATATATAAGAAACAAAAAAGACAGGAAAACTATGTATACGCCATTCTCACCTACACCATTCCTTGTTTACGAGCTCAGGATTCCAAGCCTATAACACTTCGAGTAGCTTCTGCGTGACGTGCGATGTTAATTCGTGGATTACGATGCCTCTCCACTCGCATGCAGTATGTGAATGCCGTAAAGTTTCCGGGGGAGCAGTTACTGAATCAGTTGCTTGTATACTGGTGAGTGTACCAGTATAAGGGGTGCGCTTCATTTGCAGTTGCAAGTAAATTTTTTACGCGCTTTCAATTAATTAACCAACAGTGGTTACACTAGGAAACATTATTCAACGCTTACCGACATTTGTCATTATTTAGTTTTCACTAAAGTCATCAATAACTGCTCTGCTTGTATGGCGTAGTCACTTGCACCGACTGTATATATATATTTATGACTGTTTTGTGCACAATACACACGTACCAAATGTTAGCGTGCAAACACATTTTATGTTGCGTAAAGAATAGTCATGAATCTTGACTAATTCGCCCCATCATCAGTTCTATTGCATAATATAATTGCTTGCGGCGGCGACTGTATACTGTCGTGATTTCTTTCTTCAACCACTTTATGGCATGATCGCCTATTGTGCCTACTCTATGATAAAGTTGAGCGGTTCAGTATGATACAGTTAATTGTTACGCCAACTCTATAGAGCTGTTGTAACAACGCTCATTTTTTTTATTAAATAGTCAACCTTGCACCGAATTCACGAGCCCACAGGGAAAGAAACACATATAGACATTACGGGTGCTCACTTACAACTCTTTAGTTCCTTGAGGAAACAGGCTAATATAAACCCACTTTTTGTCGACACATGCGCAACCTAATAAGCCCTTCCCTTACATAATCACGCTGTGGGACACATGCTCTCTAGATAACGTGTTTCTGACTGATACAGGTTGAGTGACGTTTCGCTATGTGATGAGTGAAGTGGCCGTGCGTGATCGTGAAGATAGAATTGTGTTTGAAGTGCGCGCCACAGAGACAGTCGAAGAAGACGACGCAGGAAAAAAATCAGGGCAGGTGGTGGTGCGAAGAAGGAGTGAGGCAGACGTGGCTGGAAGGAAGAAGCAAGATTGAAGAACCAGGGCGTGGGAGCAGTGACCCGTCGGGTTGCGGACTCGAGGTCTCAGCAGGCTCCCACCTGGGGCCATACCAGCCGTCCTTGCAGTTCGGGCCTGGCGTGGGCGAAACGTCACCAGGACGTTTCCGCCAGGCGAGTACGGCACCTACAGCAGCGAGCGCCAGCTAGCGTTCGAGATAGGCATGGCAAACGCCATGCGTGCTCCAGGTCAACGACCTCCACAGTGAGCCGCGTTCTTGGCCGCGGCTGTCATTGGACTTACCAGGCTACCCAAGCGTCGGCCGTCCCTTCCCAGCGTTGAGTTTGCCGCCGGGACTTGACCACCGCCTTCCTCTCCGGTGAACTCTTTCTGTTTTCATGCCCTTGTGACTCTTACACCAGCATTCCAAGCATGTTATATTTTTTGCCTTACTTCATTTATTATTAGACCTTTCATGTCTTTTGTAAATACATTTTTTTGTGTGATTGCATAAACGGCCTCGTTACTGCCCGATGACGATTGAGTCATCGCAAGTTTCCGTACAGAAACACGAGCGTCTCGTCTAGAGCTTTGTCTCTCTATACAGCTCGTTACATTGGCGTCCAAGGCGACAGGACGAAGCCGTTTATTGCATTATTAGTTACTGTTCCCTGGTTACATTTTGCTAAAAAAAGACAGATCAAAAATGAGTTCGGAATAAACGGCACTGGCGTTGCGCATGGGGCTAGAGGGAGCTGAGTTAAGGGCTTGTGTAGAAGAACGGTAGTTTCGAGCTCGAGAAGAGAGGGCTGCAGAACGTGAAACAAGGAAAGAGAAGATGGAGCAGATGGAGTTAGAACGGCGACTTCAGGAGGAATACCAGAAGACTATACAGTTGCGTCTTCAACTCGCTCAGGCTGAAGGCGTTAGAGAGTCAGTGGTGGCTGACCAAGGCCGACCAGTTCGAGCATCTCCTACTATTAATCCTCACAATTTTATGCCAGGGTTTAACGAGAACCGGGACGACTTAGACGCATACCTAAAAGGGTTTGAGAATGTTGCTACTGGTCAAGAATGGCCAAAAGACAAGTGGGCCACGGCCCTAAGTTTGTGTTTGAGCGGGGAGGCTCTCAAGGTCTTTGGTCGTCTGTCGCCAGAAGAGGCTCTCGATTATGACAAAACCAAGTTAGCGCTACTGCAACGATTTCGTTTCACGGCGGAGGGCTACCGTAAAAAATTCCGACACAGCAAGCCACAAGATGGTGAAACGGGCGTGCAGTACGCAATGAGGCTAACAAGCTTCTTCGACAGATGGGTTGAGATGTCGAAAACGGAAAAGGAATACTCATCAGTTCGGAATCTCATAGTAGCGGAGCAATTTATAAACAACTGTCATGATAAGGTGGCGCTATTTTTGCGAGAGAAAAACTGCCGTAAGCTTGAAGAGATGGCGGAAGCGGCCGACAATTTCTTAGAAGCTCAGCGACAGTCAAACTTGCTTGTTTTCCGTGACAAAGTGGAGAACACTCCTGCAGGAAAAGGCGGTAATTCAACTTCAAAGGCTTCCACTCGATGTTTTGTGTGTGACAAGACCGGTCACAGAGCTGCAGAATGCCGCGCTCGGACAAGGCAACCATACTGTGGGTATTGTCGTAAAACTGGGCACGACACCCAAGCGTGTACCAAGATACCCAGCACTACCCGGAAAGCCTCATGTATATGGTTGCAAAGGGAGAACCTTAACGAAGTCGAGCAGGTGAAGGACAAAAAAAGCGAAGAGAGTATGGCTAGTGCAGTGAATACCGAACCAAGGGTGACGAAGCACCAGATGCCCGTGTTGCAGGGCGTGATAGTCAGCAAGACTGCTTCAGTATTACGGGACACAGGAAGTAATACGATGGTTGTGCGGCGTTCCCTCGTGCCAGACGGAGTACTTACGGGAACCACGGCAACATTGTTCTTGGCGAATGGAAGTAGAATTAAGGTTCCAGAGGCAAAGGTGGACATTTTTTCACCATACTTTTCAGGCATATGCATCGTAAAATGCATGATTTCCCCGTTATACGACATTATCGTGGGAAATGTGCCCGGATCACGTCAGGCTTATGACCCTGATACAACATGGAAAGAGAAGCTTGCTGTACCGAAATTAGAGACGGACAGCGTAGCACGTAAACGATACAAGGAGGAAAGTCATCACTTGAACCACTTGCTGAGCAGCATCAAGAGCACAAGGTCTAAGCCGGATTCAGCCACACTCAAGGTCGACAGTTTGAAAATGACCAGAAAGGATCTCGAAACTGCGCAAGCAGAAGACAAGACCTTGGACACCTGCAGAAACAAAGTCGGACAAGTATATTATGGAATGGGATCAACCCATTATTCGTTTACCATGGAAAGGGGGATAGTCTGCCGCCATTACCGGTTATCCTCTGGCAAAATGATAAAATAGGTGGTAGTTCCCTGGAAATTGCGCAGCCAAGTGCTTGAGATGGCGCACGAAAGTCTGATGTCAGGACATCAAGGTACGAAAAGAATTATTGATCGGGTACTAGGATCGTTCTATTGGCCTGCAGTACAGGAAGAAGCTAAAAGATATGTTCGATCTTGTGATACGTGCCAAAGAACGTACCCGAAAAGCAAAGTAGGCAAAGCACCACTTGGCCAAATGCCGTTGATTGAGACACCATTCGAGCGAGTGGCAGTTGACATTATCGGACCCTTGAAACCAGTCTCTAACAAGGGTAACCGATACATTCTGACAATGGTTGACTTAGCGACACGTTATCCGGACGCAGTGGCCCTGCCCGCGATTGATTCGGCGACTGTGACAGAGGGCCTGTTGGAAATGTTTTCACGCACTGGATTTCCCCGTGAGATTCTGTGCGATCAGGCATCTTGCTTCACGTCCGAGTTGATGAGAGAAGTCAACGCATTGTTATCCATCAAACATCTAAGTTCGACACCCTACCACCCTATGTGCAACGGGATGGTTGAACGGTTTAGTGGCACGCTGAAACAGATGCTGTGAAAACTATGTCAAGAGGATCCGAAATCATGGGTTCGGCTGCTCGCGCCACTCCTTTTTGCATACCGAGAGTTACCCCAAACCAGCATGGGATTCTCGCCGTTTGAACTTGTCTATGGGAGATACGTTAGAGGCCCTCCCAGTATATTGAAGGAGATGTGGACGGGAGAACACATCAGTGATGAAGTAAAAACAACATATGGGTACGTCATGGATCTTCGAGATCGTCTTGAGAAGACGTTGCAACTAGCCCATGAGAACTTGTCACAAGCGAGGAAAACTCAAAAGCAGTACTATAATCGGAGAAG